TTTATTTAGAGTTTACTACTCATTAGCAAATTTTTCCTAATTTTATACTATGGAAATTAATGTTAAATAATAATTAACTTATCAAATATTTTGGCAAAATAACAATTCAAATACATATACCTATTAACTTTTCTATTGCATTAAAATCCACAATTTGTAAATTATTATCAAATTTTGTTGAATTTTAAACGGTTTGTTATATTTTTAAACATAAAAAGGTTTTTTGGGCTGGATACACAATAAATATAATATCTCTGACTGATTTTCGAGAAGTTTTTACTGTCGAGATTACTTATTAACAAAACATAATATATTTTATGATTCATAGATTTTTATTGCAGAGAAAAAATATCGAGCAGCGTATGATGTTTTTTCAATGCACGTATGTCATATTATATTATTATGTGTGTCAAAGTATACCTACGTATTATTTAAAATATATAGGTAATATAAATGTTTTCTTCACTATGTTTATCGATTTATTTAATACCATTACAAAAAAAAAAAAAACATTTTCGGTGAATCTGATCATCACAACAATAATATGTGATATTCTTTTACGATATAGCGTACAGTCAAGTCGCTCTTGTTTAACAAACGCTTTTAAAGCGTTCTCGCAAAACTTAATGATATTACTGAAATTTACAATTCAATGTGTATATACATATATATATTATTATAAATATAACGACCGAGTTTACGCAAATATTCTTCGAAATTAAAACGAGGATTTTATCACACTATTGTCGTCCCACCTACCCACCTTCTGGTTGTAATACCAGTTTCAATTGGGACGGTTATTATATAACTCGGCACATAAAAGTATTTCGCACCCAAAATGTAATATACACGAATTGCTCGTAAAATTCTACCATAATTTATTTCATTTCATTTCCTTAAGGGAAACGAAAACAATTTTCTCTCCTGATGCATTATCCTTATGTTCATTACTCTTTAAGATATTTATGACACAAATGGGYTTTCCCTCAAACGTTATGATTTTACGTAGAAATAATGTACGAACATTCTATAAAATATTTTTATTATATTATTATTTCTTTCCACTATCGAATTTTATAAAAAAAAAGATATCTTACATTATTATTATTGTTATATATAAATCATAGACTTATTAAAATATGAACGGATTTGATGATTAATTTATGTTCAGTATATTTAATATGACATACAGAGTGATTCACCAACCATACTCACTTTAATTTAATGTATCAAATTTTGAATTTTTAGAGTCAGTTCTCTATTTATTAAGAACCGTTAAATTATTTTCAACTATTACCTTTTAATAAAATTTATGGAGTACCTATTACATTTTTTACTTAAATTGCTAAGTAAATGTTTTTTTTTTTAATATTGATGACTGATGTACTTCTCTAAATTAAACTCAAACGAGTAGTTTTTGAGTTATTCAAATGTGTCTTTACGATTTATTTTATAAAAAATATAAAAAAATATATTATGTAATACTAGATCTAGTATTTCCTATACTCAGACAATATTACCATGTATAAAATGTTGATTGATAACTAAAGTTGTTTTTGTATACTTGTAGAGCAGTCATAGTCGCCGTTTATCAATATATATATAAAGCTAATAAAAAAAACAAACTTAAGTCTTCAAATTATCATAGCCCCAACTTTCCATTAACATTAATATGGGTTTATTATAAATTATACACAAAGTTAAGTGATTAAAGAACTGCTCGTTTGAAATTCTATTGATGTACTTAAAAATGTTTGTAGAAGTTATCTATTTTATTATATTTTATTTACAGAAAAAAAAGTGATTCTTTTTTCAAAACGAAGTTGGTATGGGAAACTTCATGAAAGGAAATCGAAGGGTGTTTTAAAATATGGTCTTTAAGTAAACCTACTCTAAAATWCCAAACCAAACACTTATATTAAAGGGAAAAATAATTCTTGGTAAATGTATGCAGAGTCATATAATGTGTATAAATCAAAAAAATTCAATTTCATCATCAAATAATAATATATGTTAAATGTTTATTTCAAAACAACCAGCAGGGGTGTCATTTAGAGTAAAATCACGAGGAAGCGTTCTGAATGATATATTGTATTCAATTACATGAGAATGATGTCTGGGRACAGTCGGTGGATAAAATAATACAATTGATGGGAAACCAATTACTATCCTTCGTTATCCCGTAACCACGTCTATAACAACCAGATAATTCGTTAGCACTCCAAGATACTTGTATTTAAGAAAATACAATTCATTTTTTTTATGGACGAAGACATCAGTTTTTAAAAATTTTCCAAAAGGTATCGGGTATATTTTTCATCCATAATCTGTTAAAATATAGTTACACACAACGTATTTTTTTCATAAACTTTTGTATATCTACAGCATTAATGATACAACCATATAATTATATAACTGTTACATAAATGTATTATATTATTCATATATTTTATTCGTACATTTGGGGTTATATAAATAGTTTAAAGAAAAGTATCCATTATAAGTTGTACTGTTATTATTAAATTAAGGTTTGAAAAGTATAGTGTATATTAAACTTGATGAAACGAGCAAGTTTAAGCTATAGGTTTTTAATTTTAATAATAACGAGCGTAACCAAAAAGTAAGTTTCCCACACCATCTCGCCAAAAACGTAAATCTAAATATAAACCAAGCAATAAAATGTTGATTAAAAAAAAAAAAAATAGTAATAATAATAATAATAATAATTATAATGTAAATAATATATCAAAAGAAGTAGACATTATTTTACGATTTACAGTTTGGGGTGGTAAAAGTAAAGTAAAGTAAAGTAAATTTTTTAACAAGCTCTACTCAACATTTGTTCTGCGTTTGTGGGTGTGTATGCGTGCACGTGCATATATGTAACGTACTGGGAGAGTGTTATTTTCTTTTTTGAAGAAATTATACTTATAAAATTATTATTTTCAAATAAGGATAACCGTGGGAAGTAGTTATAGTGGTGCAAGGTGAATGGAACGAAAGATCTTCTCGCGGGATTCCAAATATAATATCATATTCTAAGATAATAAGTCAAACTCAAAAACGTAACTACTTTTCGTATTGAAAYCGCAACGATACATATAGAAAAAAAAAGATACTTATAAAGATWTAAAAATTCTAAAAAAATGTAACAATACAGCAGAAAAAACATCGCAGATAATAATAATAGACCGGTGGCGGCAGTGGCGCTTATACGGAGTTACGTCACAGCCGCCGGCCACGTAATACAATAACACGATATTAATATTATTATTATTATTATTATTATTTTACGGTTTTTGGACCCGCGTCGTCCATGCCGCAGCCATATCACACTGCACCCGTTCAACGCGTGATGTAGTGCACRCCCGACCTACGYGCCTGACCCGAGGCCGCGAGTATAATTTATACGTCCAATAAATAACGCGTCACCCCTCACACCAAACACACAACCGCCACGCCAAACTTCTACAGCCCTACTTCCACTACACCACGCTGGATGCTGGCCGACGTTTTCCGTTTCATTTTGCACCGTGGCCGACATTGGACCGGAAGCTGGATATCGGTCGTTGTCGTCGTCTTCGTCGCTGCCGCTTCCAATTCGAAAGTGATAACAACGYAGCSGAACTTCACGTTAGACATAAATTTGAGATTGTATTGCCGTAATACCCCCGCCTCCCTCACATGGGTCATTACTAGCGCGCGCACACACGCACGCACGCAAGCATACCGCAAAACTCATATTTATATAAGTCACACGGTTCTCTGAAATTTATAACAATACGGCGTTGGCTCGGTTTGGCCGACAATCATTTTTAAAAATAAGCGATATATGTATATTGTGATGCCCGTGCGTCGTTTATAGTGACTATTGTAGTCACAAAAATCGCATAGACTGATCGGATGTAGGTGGTTTTAAATTATAAAATGCTGTTATCAACTCCGACGACAATGTGCTGCAGATAGATAACGACGCGTGCAATCTGCAAGGGAAATTATCTYGTTGTTGTTATTAAGATACTAATTTTTTACTCTTACTCGTCGTCGTTTTCGTGCCATAYATCCCGCCAGTGAGCAATAAATAAAGTTATACYTGTACTTAATTTTTCATTTGATTACTGATGTCATCTTTACCGGTATTTATTATTTTATTCATATTGAAAGTTAATTAACTTTTTTCCACGATGAACCTAACCAATTTAATTTCTGCAAGTGAATTGATGTTTTTATTTSATTTTATGTAAAATGTTTTATTTCAATCTTTCATTAATTCATAACTACCAGTGTCAACTGACAACACTGGTTTAATCAGAAGCAAATCTCACGATCACTTACACAAGTTGCAAATATAATATATACATTAACATAGCTATACGTACATAATAATATTTCTCAATATTCTTTGTGTTATCTTTACTACATGAGTATAGTATATCTAAATCATCCAATGCCCACGTGGATTCTCTTAAGTATTACCAAACTAATTATACATGATAAGATCACATGATATTTATGTGATTATTTATTTTGCGACTACATGTTCTGTTTATTTTTCTTTTTTTTAAAATGTTTTCTACACATTTCTTTTTATTGATGTTTTTATTTTTTATCATGAATTTTAATGATAAAACATATATTAAAAATATTATTTATGTTAATTCTCATATCAATCACATATTCACATGCTTTTACTTCTTATTTATTCACCTGACCTAAAACTATTTGATATTCTATTACTTGTCTTATTTATTTACCTTTAATAGTAGGTATTGATCAAATAGAATATTATACTACACAATACAAAAAAAAATTAAAGAAACAAGTGTGGCCGAATAGAGCTCCAGTTATAGTTTAGCGAGCTTCGTTGTACGTAAAATCTTCTGACACGTGCGAGACGTCACATATTTATACATTTATTGTGGTATRATATTATAAATTGTACAAATAATGTTATAATATATTTATAGATGAGGTTTATTTACGTGACGAAACTAGCTTACCTCAATCGACGTTATTCGAAAACTTATTGTACATCACACTCTCTGACGTTTATCTGAAACAAACATTAAAAAAAAAACTCGTTAAATGCTTATTAATATATTCAACTCCRTGGAATATGTTCATGGAAAACAATACGAGCGAAACGTTGTGGATAGATTTATGGCGGTCGTTACGTAGAAAGAAAACGTGTCAAAAGTTTTAGGTGCTTGGTGAGTTAGCTACGACTGCAGTGATCGAATGGCGTGAGGTGGAGAGAAAACYWATGCGCATGCATAAACGACGGGTCAGTCTGTAGACACGACGGGGTGCAGGATTTTCAAACTAGCCCCATCGTATAACAAATGGTTGGCCTAACTTTGGTCAGACGTCGAAAGAGGATAAAAATAAAGTCCGTAAGCTCTGAATGTTAGGACGTTATACTGGTCTTTGTAGTATACGGTTATTGGCTCACAGGCAACTTGTACTTACTACCTACGGCGGTATTGTGCGCTAACCCAACATTCGACCTGGGTAAGGGGGTGGGTGGGATAATATGTTAAGACATTACAGTGAAATTTCAAGATGACTCAAGCATTTATGATAGTTAATAACGTTATGAACGAGAAACTGAAGTGTGTTTCATAATATTATGATATAAAATATAATATAATCACCGAATACCTATCGGCAGGTTGAAAACTGAGCGCACTTGACACTTTTGCATTTACACATTTATGCGTGCATTACATGGTAGCTAATTTATCGTCATTATCACTAGATTAGTATGATAATAGTTAATATTTGAACAGTTTGCGCTTTTAATTAAGTAGTAATAATTATAAAAATGTGTCTGTAGGTAAACATCTCATAATATCATCTTATTATTTTTAGGTTTTYGTTTGGACAATAAATTATAATACATCACACGTTATTAGTCAAGAAATCACGTTATGCAAATTYAATTTTAATAACTCCTGTAATTGTAGCATTGGCACCATTTCTTGCATTTTAATGGACGTCATCTACATTAATATACATATACAAAAAGAACCGATGCTAAAATTCTTTATCTTTAAGGATTGAAGTTTTTCAGAAGCTTAGGTTGATCAAAAATAGGTTGTTATATATATAAMTTWTAGTATGTAACGTTGGTGAATGCTTTACCAGTAAACTTTAAAAAATGTGCTCACTTTACTAAAAAAAATAATTTTTTTTTTATAAACTATCYACTGTTGAACCTCTCTCCTATTTTACACTGGGTTCAATTATACGAGCACGGTGTAAGTTTTGCCCTGAATATTTTTTTTAAATACCTAATAAAGAAAAGTGTTAAAAGGGAAAATTACTTTTCAACCATGTTAAAAGCGCAGTAACCTTTAAGTATCGTTTAAATAACTTTTATTTTAAGATAAAGGTATAACCACTGTAAAGCTATAAAAATACAATATCAACTGAACATATTTTATGTGAAACCATAATATACTTAATGTACATAGACTAAATGGTTTTTTTTTTAGTTGGAAGAAAAACATTTTTACAACAAAATACTACAAATTTCTATTAAGCTCACAGTTAAAGTAATAATTAATATCCAGCATCTAMAATGGTATTTTCGAATTGAATTACTTAATAAATATTTTCAGCTATGTGCACTGTACATTCAAACATAATAAATATCGGATATAATATTTCGYGAGTGCGAGCTAGGATTGTACAAATATTATTTCTTTAGATTTCGTCGTATAAGAAAATAAAGCCAAGGAATCAATGAATCTCCTGCAKAAATGATTTTTAGTTTTTAGAAAATTAGAAAATAGTATATTTCACTATGTACTACGCCAATACTAGATAATACATGAGTTAAAATCTAGATAGCGACAATGCAGCCAATTAAGTTTAGAGGAAACAATCTGTTACACTGGTTCGTACCTTACTCATGAGTATAGGTGTACCTAAATTTATTATGTTCATGTTACTTATTATTTTTTAAATGAATATATAGTACGTCATTGGTGCAAGGGCGTTGACGATAAATCGTTTTAATTGCGCATTTCATACAAGTATTAAGTTAAAGATACAATTTTGTTGACTTAAACTTAACGCAAACTTCTGATTATATAGATGAGTAATATTAGTTCATGTTCATTTAATTGTATGTACCGGGTGAAAGGTTTGTGTTAATTAAGAGTTAAATGTATTAGTTCATATTTTAAGTAGACATTTTGTTTGTTTGGATTCGTGAGTGCATTAARTTCCGTAATATATTACGTACATATATACCTATACATATGGTTTTATATACAAGGTGTTTTCTTAAACACGATCGCCTTATTGTTATGCTTAAATTACGCATACATTCAAATTCTGATTTTTGGAATTTTCAAGTACACTTGAAGACCATATATCTGAATACTTGAGATCTTCATACCATTTAAGGATGACGATCCGATGACAATACAAACTTCTGTTTTTTCTATTAGAAACCACTCCCCCCTGTTTCACTTTTAACTATTCAGCAGATATTTATTGTTGAGAATTTGATGTATCGAGATCAAAATTCAAACGAGTAATTCTTGAGCAGTTTAATACTGGGTGATAATGACAATTCTTTTATGGTAAGGTAGATATTGGGGCTTATATAATTTGTTAGTAACTATTATTTGATGCATTAATATAAATAATTTTTTTAATTAATAATCTAATAACTATAATGATTACCACATATAATACGTTTGTATCATCACAGGATACTCCTGATTGGTAGAAAAAATATCTGGATTTATAAAATATGGTCTTTAGGAATACTTTAAAATTTTAGAAACTAGAATTTGAATAAATGTATAATTAAACGAAAAAATGGAAATTATAGCGTGTTTAAAACTACTCTGTATATATTTACTATGTACACAATACATAACATACTGTATATTATGAATTTAATGACGTTATTGCGAAAAACAATGAAGAATGTCTTTCAAATCAGCGTGGATAAAATAATCAATTATTATCGCTGTAGAATATATTTTTAAATACTTGAAAAAAATTTCTTTTATTAAAATTTTCTTATTTGATCTATTTAATAAAGRCATATGGTTTATCTTCACCATATGTTAATCAAAGGTGCCTTACTGAGACGTATGAAAACATCATGGAAATGTTTATATCAACTAGATCATAAATGTTTAACAGGATCGTTACGACTTGTCGCGTGCAATTTTAGAAACCATTTTATATAATGTTTGGAAACTTCGTGTATCAACCAAAACAATCGATATGCAAGTCATTGAAAAGTGAATTCATGTTCCGAACTATCAAAAAA